CCTTTTTTAACCAAAAATAATATAAAAATAAAAAATCATCTACAAAAGGAGAAAAAATAGTAAAAAGTACACCGATGTAGGAATCATACAAAAGAATATGGAGTAATAAAGGAGATAATTTTATGGAAAAATTTAAATCCTATCTTAATTTGATTGATAAATGATAAGTGTTAGGAGTTAAAAATGTGTAGCTATTTTTGTAAATTAGCTTTTGTTTTTCTGGATAAGAAGTTTTTTTTTCTTTTAAAAAGGGATGACGCGCGGCAGAATGGTTAAAGCAATATGATGCATTTGGAGCCAAAATTTTTTAATAAGAAATTACCACATCAACATCCTGTATTCTGCTTTAATAGAGTAAAAGGGATGTTTCCACAAATGTTGTGTTTTAGTTTAAAAGTGTCACTAAAATGTATTATTGTCAATAAGAGGCACTTCATGCACTATCAATCACGCATTGTTTATTTAGGAACACTTTAAGACATCAAAACTTTAGGACTACGACCAATTACTTCAATAGTTTGGGACGAATCTACTACACTTCTCTAAATTTTGGAATAAGACATAGGTTTTCCTTTAATCAAAATTAATCGAGTCTAAATGCTTTCCAAGAAATAATTGGTCGCGATATATAATTGTCATGGCTGCTCTGTAGTGCAATATTATTGTCCAAATTAAACCAAACGCAACCATAAACTAACTTTGGGGCAATATACCATTAATTTATGCTTTAGTTTACGTTTTAGTTCCAATTTTCAAACTGCTGCTTTTGTTTCGTCTCAACATGTCACTAAATAAAAAATTGCTGATATAAATTTCACTAAAAGTATCTTATAGTGAGAAAGAACAACATTTTAGTAGCACTTTTAGAACTACAAGCACTTGTTCAAACGTTCGGACTGAACTCAACATTGTCAATAGTCAGAGACTAATAAATTTGATTCTCTCAAAACTTGGAACTTAAAAGTGAGTTTTATTTTTATTTTTTTTTTGTTATAACTAAAAAAAAGAGGCCGTATGGGATGTTTTTGAGTTAACTAAATAGGGAATAATTATAAATGTGGATAATTGATCGTTGAACCTTGCTGGTGTTGAATAAAAATTAAAATGTAACATCTTTTAAAAGTTGTCTATTGTTTTGGGACAGAAATTTTATTTACTAGATTCATTATAGTCCAATTTTTCTCAGTAACTTGTTTTACGATGGTGATTTCTCTGTTGATGTTACCCATCTTTCAGGTTATGTTTGCAAGTTATTTTTTCTCTTTCACTTATTTTCCAAAGTCATTGCTTAATCTGTACATAAGGAAATGTCTATTTGTGAGTTTAAAATCTTAAACGTGATTGGTCAGAAATTAAATTGAGCATTCTGATTGGCTCATTAGTTCACATGACATCATCAATTTTAAATTGAGTCTTGTGATTAGTTAATATATTAATATCACATCAGCAATTTAAAACAAGGCAATAATGGTCAATTAATAAAGTTTTTTTTTTTTTTGCCAACCAAATATGTCATTAACCGATAGAAATAACCTAATTAATGTGGCGGGCTAGACGTTTACTACCCGATGTTACCAATTAAAATGTCATTTTTTTGTGCCCATTTTTACGACTAATTTTTCGGTTGTTCTCCATCCTTTCCTTCCCCACAAATCTTTTCCCGCCCCAAATGTCAATCTAAAATTTTGTCACCTTCATTTCCCCATCCCATCGAAATCCAATTATCTTCTTGTGTTCGAAATCCAATTGTTATGCAATGCTGGCGACAGTAAATCTCTCGAAAGGAAGAAGAACTGATCCTGATTTCTTTCAGTTCCCGATGGTGGCGATGGCGTAGATCACGGTGTCAAACAAACAAATGGTGATCATACTTTGATTGGGCTTCCGATGGTGGCAATGCAAGCAATCGTCTGTCCAGGAAACACATAGCGGTGCTGATGAATCGTGCTTCTGGCGTCACAGTAATTATTATTAGAATTTCGTTAAGCCATATAATAATATGACCATTTGAAGTGAACTCATATTGACATGTCTCAAACTAGCCGCGTGTAGTGCGACGAGAACAAATCTAGTTATTATTAAAGCAAGTAAACCGGATGTATTAATGACTAAATTACTCATTTCTCCCACGTTTATAATATATATTTTTATTGTACATTGTTTTAACTTCAATAAAGTAAAATATTTTTATAAATACAGAGTCCCAGTTTTGCTGCATCTCCATTAGAACTTGCCTTCAATTTCTTTTCGTTTTTTTTTCCCTAACTTTAAGGCGAACATTAAAATTTCAAAGCACTATATATGAACTGCACGTGATTGATATAATTAGTCCTTACAAATTCACATGGAGTAGTATTCTCTACTAGCCCTCCTCTCTATAGCTCTTTTTTACTTCATTTATATAACCCCAAACTCTTAAATTCTCCCCCTATATATATCTGCTTGCATCCTCTTCAATCTCCCCACACACTACTAACAAGAGAAACGGTATAATAGCTGCTTTGAATATTTTTTGAAAGAGCGAGTATAATTCCAAAATCTCATCATCAAGAAATCAGTGGCTTTAGCTAGTTTCTTGGTCATGATGACCATGGCTTCAGTTGGCCATTCCCTTTGGGGTGACAAAAGTCCCCAAGCCGTCAAAAGATGGTACAAACAGGTTTCACGAGCAAAACCCACATTGACAAAACTCCATTTCTACCTTAACAACATTGTGACCCGATACCCGCCAGCCAGAAACCGATTGCCCGGGCAGCTAGCACCGCCACTTCCCCAACCAAATTCGAGTTAGTGACCGTGCTAGACGCCCCTCTGACTTGGAATCCAATCCGGATTCCGAGGTCATCGGTTACGCTCAGGGTCTCTTTAGTATGTCCTCCGAAGAGGAAGTGTGCACCCTCATAACCTTCCTATTTATTTAAAAAAAAAGAAGTGTGCACCCTCATGAACGTCAACTTCATCTTCACCGCCGGCGAGTTTGCCGGTAGCACGATCACCATGGAAGGACGTAACGTCGTGTTCGGAGACATCAGGGAGTTCCCGCTGGTCTGTGGATCCGGCGCTTTCCGGTTGGCTAATGGGATCGGCACCGCCACCACTTACATGGTCAACACCACCTCCGGAGATGATATCCTTGATGTCCATTTTGTTTTCTACCGTTATATTCTTCCTGATGTCTCAGCTGAGTACGCCATCGAGATGAAAATTTAATTTGAAGATTCCATGTGCCGCCATCTTGTGTGATTACGATTTTCCTTTCCATTCCATCAGTTGAATTCTGTGCGTGTACATGTATTGCGTTGTACTGTTCATTTCCTTACTGTTTTGATCAATAAAACTTTGCTAATGGCAATTGGTTATGTACTTGATCCGCGGTCCATGTCTTGTCTGCTTCATGTGATGGATTTCTGTTCCCGGAAAACAAAAAAAATAATCCCAGAATTGATTTTGTTTCTTAAATTCTTTTTTTTTTGTCCCTCTCGATTTTCTTTTAAAATGTTCTAAGATCACTTTCTTGAATTTTTAAGGTGAAACTTATATAACTGCGTAAACCAATAAAATGACAACTTGATTAGAGGTCAGAAAACTATGTCAAGGGGAATAAAGGAAATTATTGTAAACGCGCAGCTTTAATCTCTATGAATCAAGTTTATGATTTCGCATAGAATACCAAACCGTTCTTTTTTTTTAAAGTTTTTTTGTCATTTCCCGCTGGGTGAAAAAAGTTTATAATCATGTGCTAAAAGTATCCTTTACCTACTAATTGACAAAGTCCATTACAATTTATTTCAAACAATAGTATAAAATCTTCACTTCAATTGGGATCTAAAGCAGTTCCGTTCTTTGTTCAAGCAGTTCCGGATCTAAAGCACTTCAATTTGTTTCTTAAATTTTTTTTTTATTCAAGGTTGGAATTCGAAATGCTAATTTTTTGTCTGAATGTTTCTAATTAAAAAGAATGATGCTATGTAAATAATCCAATGTTAAATGAAAAAGAGTGATAGATATCTCAATTAATTTATCTCACTTTTTCATTTCACCTTACATGATTTTTAGGTATTGGATGAAATTTAATAAGTTGATTAATCATTAGATAAAATCTAATAAGTTAATTTAATTTTTTTTGTTAGGTTTACATACTTCTTTGAAAATTTTTATATCTAAAATTTTAAAATAAATAGACACTAACCTCGAAAAAAATAAACCCTTTTCGGTAAAGTTATCATAATAAGAAATATAATAATATTTAAATTAATTTATTAGATGCAAAGTAAGAAATACATTGCCCAATCAACAGATGACATGTAAGACGAGATGGAATGGTGAGATAAATTAGCTGAGATGAATATCATTACTCAATGAAAAACTACGTATTGTTTTCCTTGCATAGCTTAGGTTTGACGTACATAACTGTGGCCTCGATTCCTTTTATCTCTTGGGAAATTTTATTTATTTTTAGCTATCTAAGACACATGTGATTCCTTGAACAATTGACTTCGAAACCTTCCCACGAAAAAGGCTTTACTACACATAGAAAGGTCAATGTAATACTACTACCAACATGTAAAGCAACTTGTTAGAATTCAATAAATGAAGTTAATTGAAAACTTCAATCAAATGCTCCTTCGTTCCCATAAAAATAGAGGCGTATTAAAGTCTGCAAGGAAAAAGATAAAAATCGCTGTAAAAAAGATAATTCTGCCCTTTTTATTTGGATATAGACCGCATGGTAAAAGATATAGTCTGTCGTAAAAAATACCATTCCACCCTTTTTATTTTTTCAGTCCAAAATGAGTGATTCAGAAGCAAGAAAAAAAATTATTAGACTTGCAGAATTTCAGGCCGAAATAGGCCGAACCGACAGAAATACCGTCCGAAAGAGGTTGGGACGACGCTCGTGCCGTCCCGGCTTGGCCTAGACAGTACTTCTGCCGGTTCCTAGGACCAAGGATGGCAGAGCCGCCGGCTAATAGGGCCGGCAGCTGTGGCAGCCATTAGTCATGGCCGCCGCCCACAGCGTCCAAGTCAACATGGGACGCTGGGCTGCCGTCCCTTATTGTGGGAGCTGGTGTGAAAACTGGCTCTCTTACCCTAGGCCGGTTTGTGTCGCGGCCCGGGTATTTTTTTAATATTTTTTAATTTCAGTTTTATTGATTTATTCAGTTAATTTATCGTGTTTTATTAATTATCGCATCATAATTAAATTGAATAGGATTCATTTAAGTTATTTATTCATGCAAATCTATTATTTTATGCCATTTTAAGTTTTTTTTTTAATTTAGTAAGAGTAATTAGGTATTCTATTAATGAGTTATTTAGAGAATATGTTTAGAATTTGCAGGATACAGCTGAAAACGAAGATCATAGTGTTCCTTTTGACACTAATGAGATATTCCAATCAGAGGATGACGCTATTTTGCGCGTACAAGAGATTGCAATCAGCAATGGTTTTGAATTAGTGAGAGATTCGCAGCAGGACAACGGGTATTTGTTGAAATGCAAGAAAGGTGGACGGTACAGGGCAGAGAGGTACAGAGATGGAACCACTAAGTGTCGACCAAATTCGAAGACCCAGGTGACTGGGTGTAAATTTGAGGTGTTCATCAAAAGATATAAAGAATGGCCGGGCAATGTATATAATCTGTCGAAAGACCGGTGAAAAGGCAGAGCACAATCATCCGATGATACAACATCCAGAGGGTCATTGCTAGATGAGTAAGCTGAGCGAGGGAGTAAAAAAGATGATAGAGGACATGTCTGAGGTGGGAGTAAGGCCGATTTACATTCTAAAGGCACTTCAAAAGGAGTATCCAGATTACCATGTTACGAAGCGCCAAATTTACAACTACAGAAATAAATTGCACAAGATGGGGTGCGTGGCATTTGATGGCACGGTCTTGATGTTACTAACAGGACTTTTCAGTTGCCCCGGGAACACAACTACATAATTGTGACAGAGTCAGATCCGAATACAATGGCCTTGATCCGGGTTTTCATGGCACACCCTGAATCAGTGAGGTTATATAGAGCGTACCACTTGGTCGTCGGTATGGATAGCACGGAATGACTCCGTGCAACAACAGGTACAAAATGCCTTTTTTGGAATTTATCGGAATGACTCCGTGCAACAAAAAATTTTTGATTGCCTATCTTCTGTTGGATGCGGAGACTGCTGAGAGCTATCGATGGGCGTTGTTACAGCTGAGGCTATAACTGGAGATAAAGATCAGCCAAAGGTTTTATTCACTGATCTAGAGTCAGGGTTAATGGCACCAATTAGTGATGTTTTTCCCTAGTATACCCACTTGTTGTGCACATGGCACATCCACAAAGATGTGAGAACCAAAATCTAGACTCTCTTAAGGCGACACTTCAGTATTGCTTAAGAAGTTCGGGGAACACAGGTGGTCAAAAATTATGAAAGCTAAAATTGTGGAAGCATATGAAGAACAAGTCATAACCATGGAGCAACTTTAAGTTTTAATAAGTTTTTTTGAATAATTCTATTTTTTTAAGTAAAATATTTGGTTATTAGTAAGATTAAGTACTTTCTTGGTATTGCAGTTATAGTCCTTATAAGGACTTACTTACATATGTGAAAGAAACATGGTTACCACACAAAGCGAAGTTTGTACGTGCGTGGACGAATAAAAAGTTGCACCTTTGGGAACACGACAACGTGCAGAGTTGAGAGTGCACATAAGGCACTAAAGAATTGGATTGACTCATCAGCAGGTACTATTGTCACGATTTGAGGACAGGCGCACAATGCGATTGAGGTGCAACTAATTGAAATCAGGTATGTAATGACTTAGTTTAATATTCGTGTGCATATCTTTAATTTTTTTTGAGTATTAATATATTTTTTCCTGATTTTTTTTCACTCAGGAAAACACTAGAAGAATCGCGAAACAAGAATGGAATACCATATCATGGTTATCCATTTTACCACCTCAATTCTGTAGTTTCGCACCATTGTTTGCAAAAGTTGCACAAGGAGTATGAAAAGATGCAGACAAAGGGAGACAAGTTTGTATGTGCTTATAAGTTGAGATTTAACTCATGATATTCCTTGTGGTTGTGAGATGAAGGTGACAGTGGACGCGAGTCTAGCGATTCAAGTTTCTGATCTCAACCCATTTTGGGCTAATCTCAATATCGACGAGAGTCCCGTCAATACTAGGCCTGATGGGCTGTCAGATAATCAAGTCTTGTGGAAACATTTGGTTGGCGTTGTCAAGAATGAAGATCCATTGGTTATCTGCAGGGCGAATTGTTGGCTCTATGATCAAATTTACCTAGATAGAGGGCCTTCAAAGCAACCGGAGAATAAGAAAAAAGGCAAGGGACGCCCAAAAGGAAGCAAGAACAAGCCACACGAACAAGTTTATACTAAATGGGATTTTCGGCAGCCTGACGAGTTTGCTCAAGGTAAGAACCCTTTATTAATATTTTTTATGATTTTTTTTATTTTTATGTCGAACACTATATATTGTTTATTAATGTTTGGTAATGTATATTTCACGTTGTAGATGTAATACAACAAAGCATTTATGAACATGGTGACCTAGAGAGGATTGTGCCTTTTATGATTCCCTACATTACTGGATATGTTGATGTGGTGGGTGATGGAAAGTGTGGATTCCGCATTATGGCGAGCCATTTGTTTGGATCCGAGTATCAATGGCATAATGCTAGAAGAATTGGTGCAGATGAGCTAGAGGAAAGTCCAAATTTGTACGATTTCTTCTTCGAAAGGGACATTTCCAGGCATGTTCACCGCATACGATGGTATGAGAGTCCTTGGTTTTAATATCATTACATGATTACTTTTATGGACTTGCTCATGTATGCCACTCGCTTCAACATGGTTATCTTCTTGTACGGGCGTGGAGTAAGAGGTCAGAATATGAATACATCATCGAGCTCTAGATTGCCCCTCATCTCTCACAGGGCCCTAATGGGCCTTTTACCGGACCTATTCGGGAGATTGCCATTGATCACCTAGGCGATTACAAGCATTACATTCGGCTAGATTTCGTGGGTTTAGATTTTCCAGTTCTGTCCATACCTTATCATTGGTTTAACCACCGTGACACTTCCGTTATTGGTTGGGAGCAGCCATATCTCAAGAGAATAGATGTTTGGCACACTTTATGTCCCGAGATTGGATGGACACAATCCCCTCAGTCTTCTCCCTTTGATGTTGAGTAGAGTACCAGTTATCTGTGGATTGGTGTATTTGAGATTGTCGCCTAATTATTATATTTAGCATAATGTCATTCAATTTGTTTGCAGTTATATATTTTAGTTGTAATGTACGAACAAGTTAAAAAACATAATTAAAAAGCACAATCACAGGTCACAAATACAACAATATCTAAGTTGAAATTCAAACATAATTAAATGAATACTAATAAACAAGGTCGGAATTAAAAAAACAAGACAAAGCAAAAGACATCAGCGCGCCTGGTTCCAGCGAAGAATGAGGTCATCATACTCCGTTTGAAATTCCGGGCCATAGACGTCGACGGTCAGCCTCAGCCTCTTGATAGCTCTAGCAGCGAGGTCGGACCATTGATCTGTGTACTACATTAACGTAGAAGCAAACAAGAATAATTGTTATATAATAACATTTAATATAAACTTAATCAGGAGAAATATTAAACAACTTATATATCAAACTTTGGCGTGCGATGGAATAGAGTTGTCTATCGAAGAACCCTCATTCTCAGGCAGAAGCTTAGTATGGGAATAATGGTAGAAACAGTCGAGATAATCATCAGCACATGTTGCCTTTGTCGAACGAGTGTACAAGCTGAGATTGAGGCATCCTGATTGAGGGATTCGAAGTCAAGCATTACCCGCATACACTTCAGAAAAATCAACCTTGTAGTTGTCGCCACTCATCGGCCTCGATGCAACTTACGGGACAACAATTAGCATAGGAATTATCTGCACATAATCGAGCTGTCGAAGCACGCGATCTGGCATGTATGGCTCAACAAAATTCCTGAAAACGAGCCATCCAGTGAAAATTGTTTTAGGCACTATCTTGTACATATCCTTACTGAATGGCTCCCACACTACCTACAAAATAAAAAATTATTTATACATATTATGAGGCCGGAAGATCGGAAATACTCATATATCCAAGCTAGCAATAGGGTCAAACAACCCCCCATCTGCTTGACACCACCTCTACTAGCAACCCCTAACTGGCGGTAAAGGTATGCTAGAGTTGGAGATGCCCAGGAACGACTTGAAACATGATCAAGCTCATCAAAAAGCTCATGCAGCAACTGCGCATGTATTATGCCGCCCCCACTCTTGTCAACAAATAATGTGGCACTCAACATCATCCACATCCAAGCAGTGGCCTGTACCTCTGGGTTTGTGCTACCCCGGACTCGGTCCATAACAAATGACTCTAACATAGCACCACTCTTATAGTTCAGGGGTTTCATATCTTTCGCAGATATGTTCAGAAGACCCATATAGTGGTTCTTCACTATTTCCCACTTGGGAACGGCCGTCACCATCTCTCCCTCCACAGGGATCGACAAAATGTGCATTGGACATCATGAAGCAGGATGGTCATCTAACCAAAAGGCATGTGGAACGAACTTGTGTCTGACTGCCATCGCTCCACGAGCGCACATGCTAGGCCAATATCATTATGCGAGAACATCAGTGCTGGAAGATGAGACAACCTAGTCGCCTGAACCAGCGGCCTCACCCTGTCAAAACCTGGGGAACTCTTCCAGTCTGTCAACATCTGACAAACAGCGGATCTGTTCTGTAATTTGAGAGAACCTCAATCCGTACCCTGCCGTAACAAAGAGGCAACGTGTCCATTGAAGCTAGGAATAATCGATCCATCTTCAGGCCCACCGGATACTGCATCTGTTACAATCCATGACCAATCATCCGATTTTTTCGATCGGCTGCTACTCCCTGAAAAAATAAATGGGATGTAATTATTAGATTTTATTTATTAACTTTAACCTCAAATAACTAATAATTATATGATTAATATTAACTTCAATTTTTACACAAAATTAATTCATACATGCTTCTATTGTAGCACTCTTACGGGGATTTGTCCTAGTCCCAGTGCCACTACGACCTCCAGGCAAGGTAATACGAAGTCATGGAATTCGGGGGGGTAATTCACCACTCTGTGATTGTAAAACATTGTGGACAGGCTCATCTTGCTCAAACGAGGGTGCTTGCTGATATAAGGTGTGTCAAGCTCTATGTGCATAACTGTTGGCACTCCCTTCTTCCTCCATCTCCTCATTCTCCACATGTTCATTTTCAGTATGACCCAATGGCAGGACATTTCGCGATTTCACATGCCGCTTACCCGATTCTTTGTTGATCGGGCGAAGTGATTCCTGCATTTAGTCACGGTTAAATAATTACACTAATTAATAGTAATCATATTAATAAACTAATTCTATTAATTAGTAAACAATATTCAAATTATTATCAAATAAACTATATTTATACAATAATTAATCATTAAGTTATTTAATAACTAACTACATTAAACTAAATACTAATTAATAGTAATTAAAAAAATATTAATAGTATAATTAATATTAATCACCATAATACTAATCATAAAACTAATTATATTAATCATATAATAAATATTCGTATAAATAACTTAAACTAATTAAACTAATTAAATTAAAAGAACTAAATAAAGTAAAAGAACTAAATTACGCTAATTAAATTAAAAGAACTAAATTAAACTAATTAAAAAATATATTAAAAAATCACAGAATATAATAAACTAAATTAAATCACAGAATGTAATATAATATACAATAAATAATTAATGTACTAATTATTAAAAAAAAAAAAGAAAAATTCCTTTGTCGACGGCAACTGGGCCGTCGACTCTGCCTTTGGACGGCTCCTGGGGCATCCCTCCTTCCCAGGGACGTGATTGTCGGCGTCCGTTTCTTCTTGGACGCCGGCGCCTGCCACAAAACTCGACGGTGTTCCTGCCGACCTGTTTTGATTTAGGCGGTGTCCATACCGTCAACATCGGTGGTCGACGGTCCAGATACCGTCTTTGGCTTCCTGGGACGATAGGCCGGTCGGCCGGCGGCTTTTCGGACGTCACCACCGCCGGCCCACCGGTTTTCAGATTCAAAAAAAAAAAAAAAATTCAGATTCAGAAAATTTAAAAAGTTCCAGCGGATGTTTCCCGCGACGACGATCTCCTCCGACCATTGATTTGAAGTCTACGAAGGTTGAAGATTGGAGATTAGAGTGTTTGAGGTTCAAAGAAATTGGAAGTTTGGATTGTAGGGTTAGAAATTGGAGTTTTAAAGTTTGAATTTGAAATTTAAATATAAGGTAAAATTGGAAGTCAACTTTCGGTCAATGGCGGTCTTTATATTTTTCCTGGCGGACTTAAGCTTCCAGTAAAAGTATTGTAAATTTAACAAAAAATAATAATATACTTTAAAACTATAATGTGGACTAATTTTGTGGGATTTAATAAATAAAATATAACAAATGAATGACGAAACAACTACAATTTGATTAATGAAAATTGATAATCACATATAAGATAGAAGATATAGAGCGAAAACTTACGCTCTGGTCTTAAGGTTTTGAGAAATTTAATAAATAAATCTCACAGTGCTTGAACTGATCAGTGCTAATGGTTGGTTAGATTCCAAAAATATCGCTAAAATATTTGTTTGTCAATAAATACTCTTATAGCCATGCAATTTTTTCTTTGGGACAAGACTTCTCATATCATAATCATATGTTTCATTTTAGTCGCAAATTATTTTTTTAGCAACACTTTTGTAATTACAATTAATTAAACACGTGTTCAAATTTTGAGACAAAAACGAACAGTTAAATAATTTGGAGCACATATACGGGACTAAAATGTGTTCTTCCTATGTCGTAAATATTATGTCTAGATTTATTTCTCTTATTTTGTCCAAAGTAACTTCCCATTTACTTTGACACTTAAGTGGTGAAACAATTGCGATTGATAATGTATTTCTTGAAGGTTTTCTTTTTTTGTTGGGAGGGGGTGCTTATAAAGTACCATACATAACATGAAAAAATTACGAACCTAATACATTTATATATATATAATATATCTGATGCAACAGGGTTTTGAGTACAGAAATATGATTTTACGATAATAAATGGAGCTGGTACACTATATTTATTATAACTTAATAAAAGAGAAAGACTAAATTATTTCCTGTGGCATCGATCGGGAAAATAAAAAGAACGCACGGATTTCAATTTCAAGCACAAACTAGCATTGAAGAAATCGTGAGTAGAAGAATAATAATAAATTTATAATTTTTATATTAATGAATGTTATTTATCGCTAAAGTAGAAAATACATATAGGGTGTGTAGTCCGGCTAGCTAGTTGTACTATAACTAAGTTATGAAAAATTGATATACTTCTTTGGTAAAAAAATTTATCTAATTTCTTTATCAGTACAAATTGTAAATTTCATCTGAATATATCCTCACCACCATTCATGACCAAAATTAAGTGACGCAAATTTATATACTAACAAAAATAGTCAAGTTGGTGTTTATCATCTACCGGAAGTAAATGATTACATATATTGTTTGAAAGTAGAAGTCGTGATCATTCAATATGCAGCCAACTTTCACAGGTTCTTTTTACTTCTTAAGTCCAAATTGACAAGTTCCGGGTAGGGTTATGAAAAAGAAAGAATCCATTGTCAATCTAAAAAGAGGAATTTTTTCTTTTTTTCCTACTGTAAAATACACTACAACTAACTTC